TATATATATATATACTATTAAATTGTACATTATTATAACGAGTAATAGAAATGGTTCTTTGACATCTTTATTTTCTATGGAGACTGAAAATTATATTTTATATTTACATAACATATAAAAAAATGTAAGTGTGCCATACACACATAGAAAAGAGATAATGTCGCAAATTTTTGTATCATTTATTGCATATCTTGTAATCGTAACAAAAATATTTTATGTCACAAAATCTCGCTTTCTATTTACATCGAATTACATATTTGTAAGAAAAAATAAAGATTGATCTTCAGGGATGAATTGAAAAAAAGTTTGATGATTCCTTTACTTAAGTAAATTCAAAATAAATAAAATATGAATAAAATAAAGAAATGAACAATAATAAGTGAATATCGACCGATGTGTAGATAATGTTATACAAATAAGCGAAGATAACCTTATTCGATCAAAGCGATTGAATCTCGGTATCTAACAATAATGAAAAAAGAATAAAATTAAAACAAAATGATCGTGTTATTCACCTCTTTATGTCTTAAACGTTTTAAACGCGAAACGTTTTAAATACAAAAAGATTTTGTCTAGGCATGTATGACGGATTAAAGCGTGAATTTCATCTTTTTTAAATCCGAGTTTTTCCTGGGATAATTAATTCGCATCTCGCTCCATACATTCACATAATTTCATTCGAACTCACGAGAGCTATAGTTAGCGATGTTCCCTTGTTAGTCGTGTACTTGCAAACAAGATTTCCCTGCTTGACTTGGAAACGAGCGATCAGTCGCACGGCGATACTACTGGCCGCTATTAGGAAAAGGATTGCCGATAATTAGCATTTTAATTTGTTGGAGTGATTTCTCCATATCGCTTTCTATCTTCGCTCTCTACGAAAGGATAAATATATTTTATATCAAAAATACATTATAAGAAATTAAATTTCCCGGTCTGACAACAACCGCGTAATGCAATGCATGCAAAAATGTATAAAGTACGAGTTCAATGTCATGACTCTATAAATTTATCCGTCCGAACAACTTTATTTTTGCTAAAAGTAAAAACTTGCATTAATAACGGATATTGCGTTATTAATCTTTTATTGAATGTTGAATATCTTCAAGTTATGTTACTTTATTATTTTAATTTCTGATCAAAAATATTATATATATATATATATTGA